TGCGTCTGTCGATGAACCTAAAGAATATTATGTGAAATGAATGATATGTGTATTGTGTAGGATTTGAGGAGTCGAAGAGTGCGTGTTGTGGGCTGGGTTGGTACAACGCGAGCATAGGATGCGTGGCAATGGAGATGGCGTGCAGCCGAGTGGGGAGGAGCGTGTGGTGGGACTTGTACAATCCGACGGGGGCTGTCAATTCGCTGCTTGCGGATTCTGCGTGGTCTGATCAGCCCTTCTCCAGCTTCTGCCATCCATCCACCGTTCAGGACTTGGTATGGCCTTAAATCAATTCATTCATTTACGTGGGTTATTTGGTTGTTTCCGAAAACTCATTTGATCAATTGCAATTTCTCTCTTTGCAAGATAAATGAAACTTCAGTTCATACAAATGAAGGAAAAAAGGTTGCATATCAATCACTAAGTAGATATCTCTGTTTGTTTTTTTAGAAATTGGGAATAGAGAATATAAGAAAATGAATTATAACTCCTTATTGCTAAGTGGTTAAGTTGGGCTCTATATGTTGTCAACAAAAGAAAAGATTAATGGTAATAATTGTGTCCAGCTTCAGTGAAATAAAACTGGGTTATGCTACAAACTTATAGTTATACTAGTTACTTTGTTACTTGTAAGCTGTCATATTTTTAAATATAACATAAATAAATCTCCTACAATGGTGTTATCTACAAATTACAAATACTTATTATTATTATTATTTTTTTTTTTTGGGTTCTCAAGTGATGCAATATTTGACTCTGAAAAAAGGTACCAGTTATGTTAGACTAAATGGAAATACTCTCAAACAGACAACAGTGAAACTTACTTAGTTTAGTGTTTAGTGATAATCTGTGTAATAAAAATAGCTCTATTAGCAAAGACAAGTGAGTTTAGAAATAGGCAGCCTAAATTTGAATCCCTCTGCTCCAGTCACCGTTGTCCATAAAAAAAAAAATTTAACAATTTGACCCTTTACTGTCAATTTAAACTAAATGGTCTATCAGATGACTCATTGGCACTTCAATATTTTCCTCAACTCATATGGAAAAATTCATGCAAAGATTACTGTTACAAACAATACAGAAGGTGCAGATTTTTGCACATATTTGCTGTCTCTCTCTCTCTCTAGATGGCATATAAAATGTGCCATTTTTATCAACTTGTTTCCAATTCAGAGTTGTTGGTTGGCTCCGCCGATTCTTGGAGTTTGGTTGCAGCTTCTACAGTCTTGAGCTTTGAGACCTGAAACATGGCCAGATGGATGTCCCCTGAAAGCAAAACCGACATCCAAATTAGTCCACTGAGATGTCTTCAAAACAAATGCAGAAGCTTATAAGTTCTTTGCACCAACTAATTTTTCTAAATTGAGCTATACACTGGACTAAGCAAGATGTAAAAGCTCATCCTCATGCATGTAGATACAATATTAACCCCCAATTCAAGCCAAAAAGAATATAACTACCCAAGCCAAAGGATTTTCTAAAAGATTTATTGTATAAAATCTTATACAGAGAACTCCAAGTTGGGATCCTCTCAGATAGAGATACCCAGTTTCCTATATCGAACAAGGCATTTTGATGGATGGGTCTGAAAGGAAAGAATAGAGGATCCAACCTACATGGTGTGGTAATAAGCATAATCAGATGCATTCAGTAGCAATCCTAAAGTGAAAGATGGAAAATGAAGGAATTTTGGATTCGTATGGGAGGGGGGAGGGTACCAAAAGTAATGCAATTCCCAGATGATACAGCAGCAACAACTCCAGGGTTGAGCCTCTTGTCATTGATAAAAGTCCCATTGGTGCTGTCTAGATCTGTGATCAACAGCCTGTCTTGTTGGTTTTTGATGCGAGCATGAAGACCAGAAACTGCAAACGAAAGTCCAGTAAAGGAAACTTGAAATTAAATTAAGAGGTCAGATGGAAGTATTTGCAATTGATGTTTGGATCGGAGTTAATGACCTGTTGCAACTGGGATTACAATGTCAGCTTTATCGGGAAGGCGCCCAACAGTGACCTCACTCTGCATTAAGTGGAGTCGACAGCCAAACCCAAAGACGCAATTGAATTGATATAAATGGCAAATGCAAGGCTGAGGAGGGTGATGGAAATGAAGTACTCACCGACACAATTTCGAAAGCATCTGGCATTTCAACCTTGGAACCTATATGCTTCCAATCTCCATCGCCTGTGATCAAATTAGGAAATCCTCAACTCAAGTATTAGTATATAATCGAACAGCACAATAGTATAAATATAATGAGTGTGGTGTTTTGGTGAGCTGAGACCAACGGGTAGGAGGATCCAACGGGCTGAAGATTGAGGAATTTGAGACTGGGAAGCGGAAGCGGAAGCGTGTAGAGGTGTTCTTGGCTGGAAGCTGAGATGCCGCAATAACCTTAACGGCGGCGGCCGGAAGCTGCGGGAGGAGGGAAGAGCAAAGGAATTGGAAGCGGGAGAGGATGAATTTTTGAAGGAAGAAACAGAAACAGAAACAGAATGCAGTGCGCACTCCATGGCTTGGCAAATTTTGGAAGACTCCTCTCCGCCTTCAGCCTTCAGCCTTCAGCCTTCAGCCTTCAGGATCTTAGCTTTTCGGATTCCCCCTCCATCATCGGGATCGTCATCCTGATCCTGTGTGTGGCCAGCATTAAATGCAAAATTAAATGTTAAAACAAAAAAATGAATTCTGTACTTGCCAAGTCGTTCAAGTTTTTCTTTCGACACCAATTTAATTAACTACACAATCAACTTAATCAGGTGCATTGAGTTCCTTTTCTAGATTGATCATTAAACAACATTCTTTTTACCATTTTTTTTATAAATAAACTCTGATTTTTCTAACCCAATCAAGTTTGTAAATAATTTTTTTTTAATATAACAAAGAGGGAATTCAAACCAATACATAATCATTGTTATCTTAGTAAAAATTACACATAATAAATAACAAAATCGGGCGGATGGGAGATTAAAAATTCCCTCATAATTGAAAATGCATACCCACCCCTCAGAATCCCAAAAATATCTGATACGAATAATTATGTATTGATGTCGCATGTCGGAACCTTTTAATTTCACTTAGTTTTTATGATGCACCGTTTGTTTATGTTTTCATCATTTTCTTTCATGCAAGTTTCAGGGAGAAGAGTAAAACAGAATTGGTAGTGTTACCACGTCAATTTGAGAATTTTATTTCTAGAAAAAAAAATCATAATTCGCATTTTGCCTTTAAATGTTCTCCATCCGCTGTTATGAAGAATAAATAAATAGCTGATATATTTGATATTCAATTATAAATGAAATAATCTCCTCAGCCTCTGCTTTTGCGTCCATCGGAGGGATAGCAAGCAAGAATGATTTCATGATTCGTACTTCAAACAATTCTAACTAAGTTCTTGTGAATATGAATCCTTGTAGAGAATTGGTTCCAATTTCTACGAGAGGACCACATAATTAATGATTGCAAAAAAAAAAAAAAAGCACCAAACTGGAACGTCCGGAAAACGTCAGATGATCAATATTCAAGAAAACGGGTTCTTTAAAAAAAAATTAATTAAGAAGGTAATGATTTGAAATAAAATAATTGTTGATTTTAAGTCGATCATTAGCCAAAACTGCCGTAGAGAAATTTTATGTCGCGAGTTGCGGATCCGCGGAATCCATTACAATTTTCTCATGCCGCTTCTTCTTATTCTCATTCTTGCTTCTCTTCAATTTGGTGGCCCTATCGAGTATAGGTAGTTGGCTGTGATGGATGTATTTTCCTCCAACGAACTGGCCAAGAACCTTGCCGCAGCCCGAACAGCATCTGCCAGTGCAAAAACCATCAGAAACAACGAATCGAATTCAACTAGCAAGTGAAATCAAATACGAAGGAGCAAATTAAAATCCGATTTGCTAACAGGCTGGTACTTGCACCAATGACGTGACACAACGAAAGGTCGCGGAATATTGGATCGAATGAAACGAATAGCAATGAGAAGAAGGGATTATGAACTATGATAGGAGAAGGAAAAGAAACGCGAGGAATTAACGATGAAGAGAATATGCATATGAAGATGGCGCAGAGAAGGAGATGAGAATGCAAAAGCGAAAAGTGATGGGGGCGGAATCTCACACGAAGTCATCGAGGCGATCGGCTTCGCAGTGGAGGAGGCAATGAGAACAATGCAGCATTGGGTGGAGCATCGAAAAACCAAAGCTTGCGCAGAAATGTGGAGAGGAGTGATTAGTGATGTATTGGTATTGGGGGCGGAGCGGAAAAATAGTGTATAATGCGCAACCCTAACCCCTTTCGAGTATTTATAGATTCGATCCACCTTGTATTCCTATTCCCTATTCAATTTAAATATCAAAAGTGCCCCTTGTTTTCCGTCTCCTTTATGGAGCTTCGTGAGGCCGATTTGGTACTTATGGTCTCCCCTAGCTGCTTCTTCTCAACTTTGTACAAATTCTTCCTGCTTTCCCTTTAATTTCTTTTTAGTTCAATAGCATGGGTGAGGATTCAAATCTCGGACATACCCTTAATCAGTTGAGTGATGTTCTATTTAGACCAGACTTTTGTCTCATTTGATAAGTGGTTTTTAATTTGTTTAAAAAGAAAATTATGGTAGGTATTGTTATTGTATGTGAGGTTAATTTTGTAGTTTAATATACTAGAGTTACAAGTTTGGTATACATATATAAAAGTTGATGAGGTATTCATTAATTTATATAAGAAAAATACGCACCTTCGATTATTGGCGCAGTGGCAAGAGGTTTGGGTGTTGTCACCCAAGATCCAGCTTCGAAACTTCCTGACTCTAAGAAAAATACAGGGAAAATGTGATTTCTATCGTGCATGCCTTAAAATGGCTGATCTTCCAAGTTTTGATATGGGAGGAATCTAACATTAATCATAAAATCATAATTTAAAACGAAATGCATGTCCATCTTAATGTTATTAATAACGGGTAATACCTATTAATTAAACTTTTTTTTCAATACAATAATATGTGAACTGTAAAGTATAGATTCGAAGTTAAAATCTTTTACTATGGTAAGCGGTAATTGGGTATATATGGAAGAAGAAAGAAGATTATTTGGATTCTACTGCGACGAAATGTGCTCCTCGAAATCGAATCAATGTTGGAACATAGAACCCGCTTTCTAGGAATTTGGTTTCGCTCTGCTACATTTGCGTTAAAAACTTTTCTGCTCTCTGTTCCCTAAGTTACTGCATCTTCATGGATGAATTGGGTGTTTCTATTCGTTTACTGTAGTGTTAGGGTAAGATTTTATTTTGTGGAATTTGAATGATCAGAATCTTCCGGGTTTCATAAGGATTGAAGAGTTATTGCAAACAGTTGTTGTGGAAAATCATTCAAACCAGAGTGAATTGTATCACTCGAAATTTTCTTTAAAAGGAAGCAGAAAAGCAGGAGGAAAAGAGCCCTCTTGTGATTTGTATTTTGCAGTTACTTCTTTTGTTATTGCTAGTTAACATTGCTTCTAATAGAAATTCTCACTATTTCTCTGGCCCTTTCCTTTTTGGTTCAACTAAACGCCAGAACTTCTTATATCTATCTCATTCTCTTAGCTTTCCTTTCGCAAGTGTAGTTGCATACAACTTTAGATCTATTATTGTGCTTCTGAGTTTAATGTTCCTTTGACCTCGTCTTGAAAATTACTGCTGTTTTGTTTCTCCATCAAAACTTCTGAAGTAACATTTTTTCCTGCAGATGAAATTCAAGAAACTGGTTTAGCTGAGGCTTTGACTGACACCCAATGAGTTCCCATTGGTCTCTCCAACCTCAAGAATCACCAGTGTTCATTCTTTTATAAGACGTCAGACATGATTATACATATGGGGAAGGCCACTGAAAAAGAGCTATTTGGCCTTGCTTTGTCCAGATGTAACTGCGTTTACTGAGCTACCAATCAGCCATGATTTTTACTAACTATAGTTTCGCAGCTCCATTAACCTACTACTCCTTCATTCAGGGGGAAAGCTTTTCCCAAATCTATTTTGAGTTTGATTTGCTTTGTAGGATCAAAGGGAAGGAGCTTCCTCCTTCTCAAGAAAGCTTGCTTCATCTTTAAGCAGAATCATCTTAAAGATGGAGGAGCTTGATTCGGGTATGGTATGCCTATTGGACCGGGCTCGGATTATCAAGGCTCAAAATGGCAAGGACTTCTCATCAAGCAAGCTCAATGCTATCTTGAACAGTCAGATACTTTCATTTAACATGTATAGCTTTGTCTTTTGGATTGAGCGATTAGTTCTTTACAGCATACATTATAGCGAGTTATGTGGCTTTTCTCTTTAAGCAAGGCAACTACTTCCTCTCTCGAGTTTTCCCCTTCCTTCGCATTTCTTATGTGAAATCCCAGATTTTATGAGCTGCTTCTATAAGTTCTTATAAGATGTCAACTTCTCTTACTACAATTTTAGTTGATGCAGTATAACTTATGGTAAAGATTATAGACCATTCTTTTATTGTTGCAGAATATCTCAAAACAAGTGAGGAACGTTTCAGGATTCACTGTGGAGGTTCTCCAACTCCAACAAGCATGGTCGATTCAGCCTCTTAGCGTACAGAAAGAGCAATGCAGCCAGCAAAATAGGCAAGATCAATTTCACCATGTTTCCGGTAATCATCTCCTTCAAGCGCCCAGCTTGACTCATAATCTTGTCCCTGATATTTGGGTGTTCTTGTGCGTCTTTTCGAGCCTTATCTGCATTGTCTTCCAAAGCATTAGTTGTTTCTTTGCTGATTCTCGCTTCCGCTGTTCCATCAGCCGCAACATTGCTCTTCTTCTCTGGAGCCTCTGCTTGTTTTTGTTTGGCACTTTGCTGTTCTGGTGGCTGTGCTTTGGGTGCTTCCGCCGCTTGTTGCTTCGACTCTTCCCGTAATGGCTGGCGGACATGAAGTATGCCGCCCTTGTACTTTGCTGTGATGCTACTCGTGTCGCAGTTTGGTGGGATCTGAAACTCCTTGTGGAAGCGCTGCCATGCCTTATTTCGATAAGGCCGTTCACCAGAAATCCTCAACTTTCCTGTGGAGGATACCTGAACTCGGATTTGCTCTTTACTGAAACCTGCAGAATGAGAGAAGACCGTTAGAAGAAAAGGCCTTGTGCTTTGTTTTGAATCTGGGTGAACTCCAACTATGGAGTTTGTGATGCAAAAGGAGAGCGATCATCCAAACATGTTAAAGTAGCATTTAAGGTGGAAACTCTGGACGACTAACCAGGAAGGTATATGGTGAGGATGCTGCAGCCGTCCTCTTGTGACGACTCCACCGGAGGTTCAAAATCTTCATAAGTTCGTTGACGATTGACTGCCATTGTTTGGAATTTGATTGCTGTTGGTGTGTTGGGTGGATTGAGGAATGAAAGAGATGGGTTGGTTTTATAGATTGAGGAAGCAGGAGGAATGGGTATGAGGTTGCTTATGAGATTGAGCATTGGGAAAGGTTTGAAGAAAATTCTTGATGGGGAAAGCGGCAAGCTTCTTTTGCTTCTTCGGTGTAGAATGTAGATACCTTGTGTTTGTAATCTGAAGATCGGAATAGAATAATGGCCGTCATTTACAGATGTATCTTTGTTTGTTAATTCGCCTCCAAGCTTTGAATCTTTGTTTATTTGCCTTTGGTTTTGGAGGTTTTACCACGTTGTTCCTAATACTACCCGCCAAGTTTTATTCAAATTTTATCCTAACTGAGGTTGTAGAATATCATATAATAGCAATTAAAAATATAGGCAAAATTTTCAAAAGAAAAAAAAAAATCCCAAATTTTGTCAGTTATTTAAAAAATATCATGTACTTGCAAAAGTTAGTTAGTAAGTAACGTTTTATAAATGTTTCAAAAACAAAAATTTGGCAAAATTTGAAACTATAATGTTGATTATCGTAGGCAGTAGAAGTAAACAAAAAATTTTGTTGGCAAGTAAAAAGTAACTTTTCACATTAAGTTTGTGATCATGCGATTTTGCTAATTTATTATTTTAGAGGATGTTTTGTCCAATTTTCCCATTAATCTTTTCGAAATTTTGTTAAAAAACGAAGAAGAGACTATTTTCTAAGATAAATGATTAAAAGCATCCCCACCCCCAAATTCGACAATAGTAGCAGTTTAATAATGAACCAGTTATGAAATGTCTAATTTACCCATATTCTCTCCCCGTGTTTTTACTAAAAGCAGCAAAGGCGAGGGCATCTTGGTCATTCGTAGAGTGGCGAATGAGTCACTGTGTCAAAATTATTATATTTCAGAAATCAGGTCATTTTTATATGGGGCTAGTCTTGCAAATAACACAAAAGAATTTGGAGGGAGAGAGGTTTTACTTCACCCTTCAATACAAACAGTACGCTGTGGGCTTCCCAACTTCTGCCATGGATTCTGCTCTCTCGTTTCCATTCGTCCCCAAGAAGTATTTCTGAAACTGTCGAGTCGGAGGGAGAAGAGGCGTCGACGTCGGAATTTTACTGTAGAAGTAGAAACTATGGCAGTCGATACCAATTTGAATTTCCAATCTCTGCTCGAGAGTTTGAAGGTTGAAGATCCATGGCTTCCTCCCAGAACTTGGGAGTCCATCCCTTCACAATGCCAAAAGGCTCAATTCCCTCCCCATACTGCTACTGGCACCTCCTCCTCTTCAGTGTCCGTAAGTTATCGCCCTTTTTCTCTTCCTCTTCATCCCTCGTTTTTAGAAGTACAATCTGCTAGATCTTCACAATCTTATCGACTATACTAGCTACATTATTAAGCTTCAGCTTATTCTCCCTTCTGTTAGTTCATCAACTTATCATAACCTTCAGGGATCAAATTGATTAAGTACTGACCTTTGCAGAGAAGGTATCCCCTGCTGTAAAGTAATTGAAATTATGACCTTCATTTTCAGGAAGCAAGCTTGGTTAGATTGGCTATGAACGCACTGCAAGGATTAGAGTCAGCACTTATCAGTGTGGACAAATTATCTGCTGCCTTTTGTTCCGATCCTTCCGACAGGACATTCCATCAAATTCCATCTCTATGGAATCGCTTTTCAAGTACGCATGCTTTAGGAAAGATACTCAGGTCTATTGGATGCGTTGGTTTTTTAGTTTTCCTGCTTCATAAATTCGTAGATCACTTCACTGAATTGGGTATGGACGAAACATTTAATCAGACGAGTAATCAACCTAAGCTTGAAAAATGTGAATGTAACGACAACAGTGAAGTGGGAGGGAGAAAATGCTCACGGAAGAGTCTTGTTAATCATGCATTTGCAGTTGCTCTGAGAAAGATTTTGGAAGGCTATGCGTGTGCACTAGATACGTTGCATGCTTCTGTAGGTCTGAGAAGAACGTCAAAAGTGCTTGATGTGCCTCTTCACGAATCATCGGTGGAAGGATGTTTAATGAACGTGGTGCATTCCGAAATAACGTTATTGGAGATGTACCTTCACACAAGGGAATTGAGAATTCAGATTGAAGTACTTGGAAACATATGTAACTTGCACGATATAGCTAATTGCTTTTCGTTGTTGCCCCTTCAAGACCTAACTGATAAGGCGACCTTTGAAATTTGTAAGTTTTACTGGGGAGGAGACTTGCTGACGTATTTGTATACCCAATTACAGGTTAGCTAAACTGAAACATCTCCCTCGTCTGTCTTGTAATTTATCATTCTTATTTAGTGCTAAAAATTTGTTATATGTGAATATTTCCTTTGGTGTATTAATTAAGCTCACTTGGAGGTTTAGAACAACCTTCGTAGCAGGAGTTAATTGAAAAAGGGAAAAGGGAAAAAAGGAAAAAAGGTTATCCTGGTTCTTGATTGTCCTTTCCTGTCAGAAATTTTCTGCCCTTGTACCCTGCACTTCCTATAGGGAACAATCCCAATTCATCTATGTTTTAGAAGGTAGTAGTGGAAAATTACTACAAAGTTTTTTTTTTGGAACAAGATACAAATTTTTCATGGATGAATGAAAAGAAACAAAAATTGTTCAAAGATACAAACTCTCGAAGAAGTGATAAAGAAACAACAAAGAAAGAGAGAATACAAACATAAGCAAAAAAGAATCAAAGCTAATAAGGAGTTATAGAAGCCTCCAAATTCAAACAAATCATACTAGGAGAGTAATTAGCAAATGAATCAGAAAGCATCATTGCGAAGCTATGAACTTGGCGATATTGAAACAATCAAGATGCGACCTTCGTTTCCCTTCAAATACCCCTTTGTTTCTTTCAAACAATAGTTCTAAGAGCCTTGAAACTGTTAACCCAAAGGAGGTTAGGTTTAGATGGCAACCTCGTTCCGAACAGCAGCCCAAGGATACTCTTAGGAACATCCAAATGCCACGCCCATGAAAGGTTGAACAACTTAAAAAACAAGCTCCAACAGAGTTGGCAAGTAGCTTTATTGTTTTCTTGAGGAAGGCTCTCAATGATCGCTTGGACGCTAAGAACTTAATGTCACATATTATTCTTTGTATGGAGCTGATGTTAAGGTGGTCAAGCATCCATTTAGTAGGGGGTGGGGGGTTAATTTTTACCCTCCAAACAAAGACTGTTGGTGTGGGATATTTGCGAGAGAAAATGAGTACTTTAACACAAAGTGTAGTCTTGAAGAGAACGACAGGAGTTAAAATTGGGTGGAGATTGTCTGAAATTGATAAGAGCCTACCAAGATGAGATCTCTCACCAGGTTGGTCTTTTGTGATAAGGTTGATATGGACGACTGCAGTGAAAGGAATTATTTGTCTTCTTTACATCCTACTCTATTGTTTGTGCTTTGCAGAATTTTGGTTGATGATATTTATAAGTTATTGATGCATTTTCCTTTTATATCCTTGGGTTTAAGCAAGTTCACATTTGGAATCCCTGGGCTTCTCAGGATGATATTTAGGCAAAGTAGATGAACTTTTGATTGGTATCCGACTTTAATGAAATGGTGAAGATGCTTCAGTCTGTGCCTTGAATACTTGGAACTGAATTTTAATTTTTATCCTTCGCTTTGGGTATCCATTTCATGAGTTGAGATTTTTGAGATATCCCCCCTATTTCTATTGATACCAACTTGGGGGACATTCATATAATTTTGAGATCACTTGAACTTCTTCTTATGCTTATTTGTGTTTATTATTATTTGGTATAAATATGCATTTGCATGTGGTTGGATTTCTTACGTTGTCCTATCCCCTATAATTTTGTTCTTTTGTGAGCCTTCTTTGTGTCATATTAAAGAATAATCCGTTTAAATTGTGTAATATCTTTTTATGGCTCCTATAATGAACATAGCTTTCGTTTTTATTCTTTAGGTTGCCGATCCTGTTCACTGTGCCGTACTCAAGTTTCTGTTCCTCCGCTCATGTGAACCATATTGTGCCTTTATTAGATCATGGATATACAAAGCTGAAATTGTTGATCCTTATGCAGAGTTTGTAGTTGAATATGTTGACCTTAAAACTCCTAACCTCAATACTGCTGCGATCTCCAATTTCCCACTAGCATGTACAAGGGTAATTTTATTATTACTATTGCTTGTTAATTTAAAAGCAGTTAGCTGTTTTGTTTTCTCATCTTTTGTGGTCTCCTTGATTTGAGTTTGACGGTCATTGTTCTGGACCATTCCCTGTAGGAGAGAGAAGGAGTTCCCATTCCTTGTTTCATAAAGGAATTATTGCTTCCACTTCTCAGAGCTGGCCAACAGCTTCAAGTACTAGTGAAATTACTTGAATTGGGTACTTCTGTTGCCACTGCAGAATGTACTTATGATGACTTTCTTCCTTGTTGGACTGGATTTTCTAGTAATCATGTGTGCTTTGAACCTGTAATCTCTTTCAGCAAAGAAAATGTGGAGGCCAGGGTTACTGAAAGGGACATTTATTATGAAAGGATGCAGAAAAAACTTGAAAATCTTCTGACGAGAATAGAGTTCAGATATGAACAGGTAATCTGAATGCTGTAATATACATCTCTGGTATATTTTTTTTGCTCCAATCTTGTACAAATAAGGACAATGCAGTTGCGAACCTTTAGCTCTCTGATTTTCATAATACGACTTTGTGCACAGATAGGCTGGTTTTAGTAACTCTCAATTAGTGCAGTTCTTCCTCCATAACCCAAAAAGTTGAACGTAGTGGTAAAGCTGGTCACAGTTCAAAACCGTTTGTGGTTGTTTGCGTAGTATATATTAAGGCCCCAGTTGGCAATAGTCCTGTATCCTATTTTTAGATTGTTTCTTATTTGAGAAGTAGGTGCTGCTATAAGGTTCCTTGTTCTAGTATTTTGTTCTGGGAATTGAGAAGTAGGTCCTGCAACAAGGTTCCTTGTTCTTGTTATAGGATTTGGTTATGAGAAATGCAATCAAAATTTTGTAAATTTTAGTCCAAGTGTGCCTTGATGATAAGAGCTAGGGATGTTTGGAGTTAACCCTTAAAGGTCCTGGATTAAAACCCTCAGATCGACGACTTCATAACTTAAAATCCTTGTTGTCTCATAGGGCTAGCTTTAGTGGATGAAACATCCTTGAGGATCAGTGAGTGGTGGGTCATGAGCATAATACAAGGACACTCCTTATGCCCTGGTTATAAAAAAATTTGGTGAATTTTTGTTTGTGGAAAAAATTGTGTTGGTTGCATCAGTTAGAGCCACTAGGTAGTTCATAACATTACTTGTATAAAGAGTTGTGTTTTTATGCTCCTGATTCTCACGCCTTATTACCCTGATAATTATTTATAGGGCTTTTAACATCGTAGATTGTGGAATATGAAGCTAGAAAGTTTCAAACAGTGTACTTTACAATTAGTTTATTCATGATACTTAACAGTGTACTTTACAATTAGTTTATTCATGATACTTTCTGTCAGTATATCATATATTTTGCAGCACTACAATTTTGCTGCTGATCGTCTTTTTATATCAGTCTTGTGAATACTTTCTTAGCAGGTGGCTCCAGATGATGCAGTATCTATGTTCTTTGCTAATGTTGGAGGAAGAATAACTGCACCTTTGTCAATTAAATCAGAAAATAGCCTTATTGTTCCAGAAGCGGACAGAAGGAGCTCAAATATGTAATATCATATACTGTTGGTTCTTCTCTAAGAGTGCGTGTGTCCCTTGCATGGTATATAAGTACACAGGCCCTTGCATGTAATGCTTTTTAGAGGTGTTCATGGGTTGGGTCGGGTCGGGTCGGGTTATAGGGTTTTTTTTTTTTTTTTTTTTTGGATCAACCCAAAAATTCGGGTGGGTGGGATCGGCTACCTGAAAGACCCGAATGAGATGAGCAACCTAACTCAACCCAACCCTTATACTTTTGGGTTGTCAGGTTGAAATTTTCTGAGGGAGGGAGATGGTGAAAGGAGGTGGGAGACTGAGGGGAGAGAGGTTGTGGAGGGAAGTGAGATAGAGGGTGACATGGTGGAGAAGAGGTTGTTCATCTTCTGAATCAGCCCTTCCAAATTGGTCCGAGATGACCCATCTTTCGCCATAGCCTTTTTAGCCATCTCTGAAGTCTCGCCGACCCTCTCCCTCACGTACTTTCCCCTCTCCCCTTCCATTAACTCTCTCACCATTCTCTTCAACTTTTCCCCTTCCACAAACCCCTTCACAGACCCTCCACCGCTGACAGCCCCATCCCCAACTCCACCACCTCCCTCGTATTCATCCCTGCTCTGCCATTATTGGCCGTGCTAGAATCGGCATTCGCAGCTCAGACTCTCCACCACCGAGTTCCACCCGCAATGGCTAAAAATCCCCTTCACGCTTCCATGCCCTGAAAATCAGTGACTAGAAATAAAAAAACAACAAAAAGAATGAATTAGGGATAGAGGGGGAAGGAGACGCAGAGACGAAGTGGGAGGGAAGGTGAGAGATGACTGAGACGAAGGGAGAGGGAGGTGGGACAGAGGGAGAGGGAGGTGAGGGGGAGAGAGACAAAGAGCTACCAAGGGGGAAGGAGGCAGCAATAAAAGAAAAAGAAAACCCTAATATTTAGTAATATATATATATATATTTTTTTTTTCAAATTTATGGTTGTCTTGATTCGGGTTGAACTGATGAAAACTCTCTCCAACCTGCGAACTGAACCGAATTTTCGGTTCTACAAAAATTCAAACCAACCCAAATCGGACAAATTTCTAACCCAACCGAACATGGGTTTGTTTGGATTGTTCGGGTCAGGGGGTTTTTAACACCACTAATGCTTTTGCTCTGACATGCATACCTGCAGAATATTTTGGCTCTTAAGTTGTAGGGCTTTGCAGAGGCCTTTGCCTAATGATTATTATTCAATGCTTCTCTCTCATCCTATAAATTTTATTCAAGCTTTTTTGGCTTATTTTTTCTTAATGGTTTTTAATTTATTGACTTTTTCTTATGTATCTGATTCAGGTTAAAAGAGAGCACAAATCATGATGACTCTAGTAGTTCTTTGGATACGTCTGATGTTGCAGTGGAGGACACGTATGATTCCTCTGGATGTACATCCTCAGTTAGTTGTGAAGATCAAATTGAGTTTAACCAAAGGATTGAGCCTCATGATAATACGAGTGTGCTAAAGGAAAATCATTTTTCTTCTTTAACCTTCTCCAAGAGTCCTTTGAATATAAATTATTTGGGAAAGGATCCTCAATTTGAAGGAGCATACCATGTGGGAAGTGTTTTGGATGGTACTCTTACAAAGATAGATGATGTAAACTGTGTCGTGCATTCACAAAATAATGCCTTGAATTCAAGTAATACATCTTTGCATTTTGACTTGGCTGATTGGTCATGGAATTTTGATGTCACCTGTGCCGATTATTCTGATATGCATTCCTTGGATTTTGATGTAAAGAAAAGCAGAAGTTATGGAGTCAATATTGGAGAAATATCTCTTTCTAGGAAGAGGATTGACGTTACCAGTGTTGGGCAGGATGCCTCATTTAACAATCAACTTGATAAGATTCCACGTGCTTCTATTTTCAGTATGAATCCAATGGTAACCAGACATGCTTTCCTTCCCATGAGGAGTAAGCCTGATCAGAGACATGCTAGTGGCTTTGGTCAATCTTTCCCTTTCTTTGATTTTTCTGTTGTAGAGGATCCATGTAGGGTATGCACAGAAGAGATACTACCTAGTTCTGTAGCTGAATCATTATGCGGTGGGAACTCTCAAGGTCCTGCTACCAATGGTAAAAGTAGTGACTCTAGTGAACGAGCATGTGGAGGGGATACTTCTCTGGACAATACTATTTCTTACAATGGCAAAGAAGATATTTCAACTAATGTTTCTGGTGGGAGGAGCTGGGAAACTATACTTTGTACCGCAAGTAAGAGAACTGTTGATAATGGTGCTGAAGAGCAGAGGCTATCTTATTCAGGATTGTTTGAGTTGCCCCTTGATTTCGTTATTCACAAATGCTTAATACAAGAAATAATCCTTCAGTATCCTTATGCAAGATATATAGGATGTTTATCTCTAGTAGTTTATTGTATCTTTTTACACCTTATCTCTGTAATTTGTATTTTATTTTTGTTTAGAATGCATTTTCAGTTTCTCCTACTATTTTGCCGGGGTTTTTTTTTTCCTTATAAGCTGGAGAATCAGACATTAATATGGCTGTAGTTTCATTACGCTTTGACTTGTAGCCTAACCCGAAATATTTTGTGTATGTAGTTAGTGAACGATACTGATTATTCTGCCGTTTGCTTCTAGAAAAGTTTTCTTTTGCATTTGCACGCTGTTAATTATTTCTTAAGGTTTATGTGAGTAGCGAAGTTTCTCTAAGACGATCTTTGATTGCTTCTGTGCTTGGCATCTCCTTAAATTTGTTGCTGTTGTGCTATATGCTTATTTGAAAGATCAAAAGATTACAGTCCAATTCTTCTTGCGAAGAACCTTTCTCTTGAGCTCTTTATGTGCTCTTCTTAGTTTTGTTTTTACTTTTTGTATGGGTTTGAGAGATGGCAATGTGACAGAAATATAGTTTAGCTTACTTTTATTCTTGTACTATGATTAAGCTAACTCACTTAGCTGTTTTAACAGTTCAAAGGCAGGGCAGGTTAGTTTTCGGTATGCCAAACTATCTAACTGCTTAAAAGGAAATGCCTTACTCCCCTGCACATTTTAACAAGAGCAACGTTCTTTTTTTAGCACAATTCATGAATAAATCCTACCGCAGTTCAAGTTCACTTTCCTGCTTCTTTATGGGGTCTACTTATCGAAAGACTCAAAGTTTTATTTTATATTTGATTTTGCAAGATTGGACGTCATCTTGTATTTTGTAATTTTGGCTTTTAATGGGCTTATAGTTCTTTGTATGTCCTTTATCATGAGCCGTAGTATCTCTTTAATTTTTTTCTCGTTTCTCGTGCAATCTTGTTAGCTGGCTCTTAGTACAACTTAAGGTCAGATTTTTCTCCCACTTGAAGGTAGATTTCCATCTCGAGCAACTATTTAGGATAAACGCATGAGTGTCCAAGACCTTCAATGTTTAAGGACAATTAGTGCAGGCTTCTGTTTACTTGTCCTGATTGTGAGTGTTTTCACCGCATGCTTTCACCATTGAGTTGTATTTCTGAAAGGATCCATCCGAGTGTGTTTCTATCATAGTGGGTAACTGTTTTTCCTATACCTCTACCAGATATACTTATGTCAGCAAGTTAACCATAAAATTACTAGATGAAGGATTCGATTTGCGAGGGCATCTTCTAGCATTGCGGCGATACCACTTTATGGAATTAGCGGACTGGGCAGATTCATTTATCACATCTCTGTGGAATCATGTATTATAATGCATACCAAGTAATTTTGAGTTTGTTATCTTTTCTGAACTAGAAGTGCTGATGAAATTCCTTTGTGATTTGCTTCATTGCCGCTCATTGAAAGCACAGAAGTGGTGTGTCGTGGAGGCAGGTAGTAAGCTTCAAGAGATTCAAGGTTATCTTAAATTGTCCGTTCAAAAGTCGTCGTGTGAACACGACCACAACAAGGATAGATTATTTGTCTACATAAAAGAACAGTGCACTCTGCCTCTTTCCAAAGCCACCATTGGTATATTATTTTATTACTCATTCCAATTACAATGAAATATTGTTTCCCATAAAAAGAAAATTTACTTATTCCAATTGCTTCTCTTTATTCTCGTTTCGTAGTCCTCGAATTTGGTTAAGCTCAATAATTTGGGACTTGATGGTTTGTGTTCATCTACATTTGCTTTTAACGCTTTTGCTAATTTTTTCCCTAATG